GAGGCAAGAGCATCACTTGAGCCCAAGAGTTTGATTTAGTCTCAAAAAATAAAAATAAAAAAAGTAAAGTCAGGCCAATGATAGCATAGTACTGCAGCTCCTATATCACATTATTACAACCCTGTTCATTAAGATTTACTGAAAGCTCTAGGGAGGTGCCTGTGGCTCAGAGGAGTAGGGCGCTAGCCCCATATACCAGAGGTGGTGGATTCAAACCCAGCCCCAGCCAAAAACTGCAAAAAAAAAAAAAAAATTTTTTTTTACTGAAAGCTCTAGACGCTGTGATACAAAAATGAATAAAACAACATTCCCTACCCTCCTGGAGCTGGCACTGAAGTGAGGGAGACACAGTATCCCACCAGGAAGTGGAAGTGCTATGGCAAACATAGTGTGGGAGGGGCTGGGGGTACAGGGAGGGGAGTCTGTTTAACAGGTGGCTAGGGAAGGCCTCAGTGAAAAGGTGGCATTTTAAAAAAAACCTAATAGAGATAATAGACAGATAATGGCAGGTTTTCATAAATAGGAGGCTCCCACTTGTAAGATGTTTTCTTCCATGTACAGCTTTCTATTTTTAGTGGAAGTTTTCAATAAGCATAATTTTGGAAGCTAGCCAAAGTTTACTTTTGCCCACTTAATCACTATAATCTTATCTAAGGACTGCTCAGTAACTGTCACTGTCACTAAATAGAATTAATAATATACTACAAAGTAATATTCTTGAGGATTATCTGTTGAGAGATTAATATCCAAATTTGTGCAGCTACATATCCCAAATTTAAAACCAATTTTACCTCATAGTTGATTTAAGATCTAGTATTATTCTCCATGAAATTCCTTACTACTATTTTTTTTTTTTTTTTTTTTTGGAGCCAGGCTGTCACTCTGTTGCCTGGGCTAGAGTGCAGAGGCTCACTGCAACCTAGAACTCCTGGGCCGAAGCAATGTTCCTGCCTTAGCCTCCTGAGTAGGTGGGACTACAAAGCATGCACTGTCTCGCTCAGCTAATTTTCTGGATTTTGTAGACACAGGGTCTCACTATGTTGCTCAGGTTGGTCTTGAACTCCTGGCCTCAAGTGATGCTCTAGATTCTCCCAGAGTGCTAGGATTACAGGCATGAGCCACTGCATCTAGCTGAAAGTCCTTGATTTTAAAGTTGATCTTGGTTACATGTCACAAACTAGATGGTGATTTTATTTACTCACATCCAGTTTTATTCCTTAAAGGATTTGAGGAGGCTTACAAGAGTGCATACAAGACAAAGGGATAAAAATAAATATGTAAGTGGTAGAAGCCAGTTTAGGTATAAAGTTGTAAAGTTCTAATATAAAAAGTAAATATGGGCCATGTGTGGTGGCTCATGCTTATAATCCTAGCATTCTAGGAGGCTGAGGTGGTAGGATTGCTTGAGGCCAGGAGTTTGAGACCAGCCTGAGCAAGAGGAAGACCTTATCTCTACAAAAAATAGAAAAATTAACCGGGTATAATAATGCTCACCTATAGTCTAAGCTACTCAGGAGGCTGAGGCAGGAGAATCACTTGAGCCCAGGAGTTTGAGGTTACTGTGAGCTACAGTGATGCCATTGCATTCAACCATAGACAACAGAGCAAGACTCTGTCTCAAAAAAAAAGTGATTATGATGCTGTCATCTTCTTCACATAGCGTCCTATAAGTAAGAGTTTTCAGTCAGTGTCTAAAATAATTCTGCTACTTAACTACTGCTCAATTCTAGCTCCTAATCTTTGGAATAGAGAAAATATTAGTATTAAACTGAAATATTAGTTGTGATATAAACATAGAAACATAGAAACGTGTTTGGTTAACATCTTAGTCATAGAACAACACCTTTTTCTCCCAGTAAGAAAATCTGATTTTGTTTCTTCCTTTGCAGGTTGTATGGCGGGATGAATTACCGTCGGTTAGGGGGTGGTGTAGGAGTTATTAAAATGACACATTGTGAATCCCATATATGGTGAACGTGCAGAAGACAGTCTTACATATGCTCCCCAGCATTCTGCAGAGTTTGACTTTGGAGGTTTGTACAGCTTGAGAAGACGTTAGAACAAATTTTATCCTTTGCTGGTGCCTCAATATGTGGAAATACAAATCCAATGAAAGTACTTCACCTGCAAAATGCCACCTTTGCACAATAATTTTTAACTCTGTGCAGAAGAATATTTATTTTTGGCTTTAATTTATCATGGGCTTTTTGGGGGTACGGGGGAGATTTACCCTTCCAACCACAAAAAAAAAAAAAAAAAAAAAAGAAGAAGAAGAAAGAAACATTTCAAGCAGCAAAACTGACTTTGTTTTTAAGGGTATTGATTTAAGTTTGAAAATACTGATAAGGGCAGAAGGGCTATGTATGATCTGGTTATTTCTAGACACTCCATCCACCTGACTCCTAGTTACATTGATTACCAGTGATAATGATAGGTCTGCAGAATATATCAGCTAACCATTATTCTTGCACCAGACCTGAAAATCTAAAAAAAAAAAAGCACACGCACACACAAACAAAAAGAAACATCTCATTTTAACTAGTATAATTCAGAAGGAATATTAAGTGAATAAAGACTAGAACACAGAGGCTACAGTTTTCATCAGTGGAATTTCATGTTTTTTCTTCTATATGATCTTGTTTTCTGTTATATTTAGTCTTTTTTCACAATATTCTCATAGAGTTTCTGCTAGATCTAGAGCTCTGCTCTGTGCCTCCTATCAAAACAGTATATGAATCTCATATGCTGTCTTGAGAATCCCCCCAAGAGAATCACATGCAACTCTGCAAGAGTTTTTGCTCAGACGTGTTACTGACTGAAGCAACTTTCCTTCTTGCTACCAAGGACCAAGATGGAGAATCCTCTTCCCAGCAGTGAATTCTGTTATGCAATTTACACTTGATGTCCAGGCCTAGTGAGGCTGAGCTTACCTTACTAACAGCCTCCAAGGGAATGAATTCTTCAGTTCATGTAATAGTATCTGTTAATGAGTATAAAACCAATTGAGACATTTTATTAATAATTTTAATTCTTTTATTACAACAGTATATCACTATCTTCATTCTATAAGGCCATGTCACTATTTCTCCCAAATTGCACTTTCTGGTGAAAAATTAAAAACTTTAAGAAAAAAATGATAATTTCAATGGTTAAAGTTTTTTTTTTCCCTCTCATTGTTCATAGACCAATTTTTTTCAATGTATTTTGCAGGAAAATCTTTGAATAAGACTTTAAATCACAACCAAAAGGAATAACCTTCTCACTTTCCCCTGCTACAAAAATGTTTGGCAACTTTTGTGTTTACATTTAAAGATCATTTGCACCTTTTTCAAAGAAGAAAAGTATTTGGTAAACAATTGTTTACATGTATCATTTATGCTTTTTTCTAGCATGTATAACTTTTTCAAATAAAGGTAGTATTTACCATAAAAAAATTTTTTAATGCTTGTACCTTTGCTATTTAATTTGAATTTCTGTTTCTGTATTATTTGCATTACCTGTATGTAAAGTTACAAGTGCTTTCAACTTGAAGGAATAAAGGGATTGGGAGCTAGAATTAGGAATTGTTATTATATACTTTATATATCATATTACCTAACCTATAAACGTATTTTCTGGTGTAGGACTTAGAATTATACAATTCTGAGCTGAAAGGTCTCTATCATTTAATCCAAACCCATTGGAGTATACTGATGTCAGTCTAAAAACCAAGAAGGCCTGCTTAAGATTAAATAGTCAAATAATGATAGAACTAATATTAGAAATCAGTTTCCCAGACTCCCATTCCATTTCCCTTTCTTTGCCACACTCTGATTATAAGCTTACTTGAAATACAGCCTGGAACTAAATATCATAGCAAGACTTTAGTATTTATTTTAAGTAAGTCTGATATGAAGATGTAAAAAATATACAAACTTTTATGAGATCCTTACATAGTACATCATTAACAGTCTTCAAGGAAAAATCATATATTTCCCAAGAGTCTACTATTGCATATGTTATGGAAAAAGAGAGGAATGATAACAGGAACAAAATTCTAGGGATTAGACTTACCAAAAGTCAGGAAGTTCCCAATGGGAGCAATTCACATGGCAGTGATTCCGGAGTTGCAATCCAGGAATTATGACACTGGCCAAAGTTTTCACTGATACCTGATAAGAGTTTGTTATTTTTCTTCCACTGAAAGCAATGCAATTTTATTACTGATTGAGATGTATTTTGTAAAAAGTGGCTGCTGTAAAATAGAAGTGTATTTATATGTGTTATTTCCACAACCCAAGTAAGTTTGGGCGGGGGTTGGGTTGGCAGTCACCCTTATGACTAAATCCACTAAAGCTTGGAAAATTTAAAACAAAGTAGGAGCTGAACCTCAAATCCATTCCCTGATTCCAAATTCTTCACTCTGTACACATTCCTATTTTTTATATGATTGTTTCACAATTTTGTTCCATAATATTTTACCTCCAAATAACCACATTGCAGTACTTCCTGGCCACTGTGAAAAGACAGAGGTCCCTTCTGAACAAGATGTATAGACTTTCAAACTTCATATTGAAACAAATATGATAAATAAAAAATAGAATAAGGAAAGAAATACAGGAGAGGAGGGAGATGCAGCAGGAGGCAAAAAACAGCCCCATAAACCTAAGTACTACTTACTGCCTGATTGTGCAAGTATTTTGTGACAACTGGCTTTGTAAATAGCTTTGAGGGCTCTATTCTGGATATGATCGGTAAGAATGGTCCCTAAAAATGACAAAACTCCTTAACTAAGCTGTCTTGCCAGTGCTTAATAGTGACCTTTCAGTTATTTAGCCACTTAAGATTAGGAACTTAGTCTTTTAAATGGAAAAAAGGGATGGTATTTGTTGAACTGACATTATATATTTGAGGTTACTCCAAAAACAGTCACTAACTAACTTATTAATACCCTTACCCTAGAAAGAATGTTTGCATTTGTAAGTCTGAATTCCTAGGAAAAGGGAACACTTATCTTCAGTGTGAATTTAGATCAATGAACATTTGGACTTTCAGTAAGGCATTACCTGCCTTCAAAAAAGCTTAGTTTCAAACCTGACTTTGATCAGTCTCTAGATCATTAGTTCTCAAAATGTGGTCTATGAACCCCTGAGGGCCCCAAGATTTTTTCAGACTATCTCTGAGTCAAAGCATTTTGTTAGTAATTGTGCCCTTTTTTACTGTGGTGACATTTGCACTAATGGTGTAAAAACAATAGTGGGTAAAACTGCTGGTGCCTTAGGCAATGGCAAACTATGTAACTAGATATAGTATTCTTTACCACCACAGACTTGCAATTTATTTTTTAAATTGTTTTTTAATTTGTTTAAGAATGTCCTTGCTGGGGGGCAGTGACTCATGCCTGTAATCCTAGCTACTTAGGAGACTGAGACCGGAAGATCTTTTGAGCCCAGGAGTTTGAGACCAGCCTAGGTAACATAGCAAGCCTTTACCTATCTCTTTAAAAAACAAACAAAAAAGTCCTTAGTAAAGCAATAAAAATTGTAAAGCTGTATCAACCACTGTGAGTTTCACACTTAAAGCCTTTTCTGATGAAATTAGTGATGACGTTGATGAATGTCATTTTTTTATATTGTATAGTGAACTGTGCCAACAGGTAGATCTGCATAATCCATGGAACCAATTTTTCTAAATGATTAATGCATCCAAAGTGCAAGACCAATGGATCTTATGGGAACAGTGTGAAAGGTCCATTGATAGGATTTCAGATTTCACCAATCACTTGTCAAATTTTGGAGTAGCATCAAGAAGAATATCCATAATTATCAAAAAAAATTATTAAAATAACCCTCTTCTAATTTCATACTTGTGTAAGCCATATTTCCCTCACATACTTCAACCAAAATAATATATTGCAAAAGACTGAATGCAGAAGCAGATGAGAATCCAACTGCTTTCTGTTAAGCTGAAATCATAGGATGTACAAAAATGTAAAAGAATGCAACTCTTCACTAATTTTTTGTTTTTGAAAAAATTGTTATTTTTAGTTCTTAAATGTATGTTACCATGTAATAGGCTTATTTTTGATGCACTAATAAATATTTCTTCAATTTGTTTTAACTTCCTATGGTAAATCACTAGATATAATCCACATAAACAAAAGCACTTTGCATCCTCCATAACTTTTAAGACTACCAAGGTATCTCAAGGCAAAAAAGTTGGAGAGCTGCTCTAAATCTTCCAGTTAACAGAAAATACAGAACAGACACATGGGTTAATTCACAGGGATTCAACAAGCAAAATCCAGAGTGTGGGAAACTATAGGACAACTAATTCAGTTTCTTCAAAAATTGAAATGCAAGGGGAAAAAATGGAGAGGAAGAAACAGATTAAAAGGAATTTAAGATTTATATCAACTAAATGCAAGTATACAAACCTTACCTTGATAATTTTTCAAGCAAATCAACTATAAATAATTTTGAGAAAATCAAGGAAATTTGATGTCTAACTGAATAATTTAATATTATGGAATTATTACAAAATTCTTCAGGAATGATAGTATTATAATTGTTTTCTGAGCCCCTGTTTTTTAGAGATATAGAGAAATATTTATGGATTAAATAATTTGGGGGGTTGGGAAGATAAGAATGAGAATATGCATGAAATGAATTGAACATAGTTGAAGCTGGGTTACGAATAGAATGGGCATTAATTATACTCTATTTTTGTGTGCACATTTGAAATTTTCACTTAGAAAATCGTTTAAAAAACAAGCTTCGGGTAATAATTGAAACAGATACTTTTTTAAATAATCCATTGCAATATAAAATATGCAGTGAACTAATTATTTACACAGCTCAGGAGGAATGCTTCAATAGCCCGGCCTGATGAGGATAGAAAAAGTGATTAGAAAAGAAGTTATGCTTGAGAAAGGTTTAAAAAACAGTAGCAGTTTTGTTAAGTGGACAAGAAAGGAAAAGACATTCCACACAGACTTCCTCTCAAGCTTGGTGTGTGGTCAGTGTTGTCTCTATTTGGGGCCCATCTACCCTAGCTACAGCATGTTCATCTATAATAAATGCAAGGTATTCTGATTTTGTAAGCCCAAATATCATAAAAACTTTTAAAAAAGAGTACAACCCTTGCAAGGTCAGGTAAAGGACATTCCAGGCAGATAGAGTATATGCGAGACATGCATAATAGGGGCAGTGAAGCAGCATGAGGTGGTCAGAAATCAAAGCAGTCTGCTTTCAGAATAGAAAAGAAAAGGCAAAGGCCAGAGATAAGACAGAAGCAAGTAGGCACTGTTATAAAAGGCCTTTCATCCCAATAGTTTTCCCTTAGGTTTCATCTCTAAAGCTTTATTCCAGTAAGTCTTGTTCTGGGAGGGTATGGTAACCAAGCTCCATGATCTCTGCTTTTTGGTATTCACACACCTGTGTAATCCTCTCCCACACTGCACCAGAGTTGGTCAGTTCTAGTATGCTGCTATGAACTCTGGTGGGGGACAGTGACAAAGGGTGGGGGCACATATGTGCGGGGCCGGCACACAGGGAAATCTCTTGTTATCTTCCACTGATTTCTGTTGTGAACCTAAAACTACTCTAAAAATAGTCTGTTAAAAAAGAGGGAGATGGTAACCTTCCAAAAGTAGGTTAAAAAGACTCTAAGGCCAGGCACAGGCCGAAGCAGGAGGATCACTCGAGCTCAGGAGTGTGACACCAGCCTGAACAAGAACAAGATCCCGTCTTTATAAAAAATAGAAAAATTAGCCAGATGCAGTGGCATGTTCCTGTAGTCCCAGCTACTCAGGAGGCTTAAAGGAGGAGGATTACTTGCGCCCAGGAGTTTGAGGTTACAGTGAACTACAATTATATCACTGCACTCTAGCCAGAGTGACAGAGCTAGACTCTGTCTCAAAAAAAAAAAAAATAATAAGACAAAAGCCCCTAACTTTTATCTTGGGTATCCTTCTCATCTTTCATGCTCTAGGAAATGCAAATGCATGAAAATAGAATTATAACATACCCATGAACCTCCTTGCATCCACCATCCACCTTCAGAAATTATCAATATTTTGTTCATGTTGTTTCATCTCCTCCCACTCTTTCTCCTCCTCCCCATCATCACTGGAGTATTTTAAAGCAAATCCCAGGCATCATGTTAAAGTCATGTACCTCATGACATTTCAATGACAGCCAAATCTGGCGCATTTTTTATGTTTAGAAATGTTTAGATACACAAATACTTAACAATATGTTACAATTGTCCATAATATTCAGGATAGTAACATGCTGACAGGTTTATAGCCTAAAGCAATAGGCTAAACCCATACAGCTTAGGTGTGTAAGGCTGTCCATCTGGGTTTGTGTAGGTGCACTCTGTGATCACACAACAATGGAAGCACCTAACACCACATTTCTTTCTGGTTTTATTTTTTGGAGACAATAACCTCACTCA